TCCTCGTCCTCAAAATCATCCTCCTCCTCCTCCTCGTTGTATTCCTCACCTTCATCCTCTTCATCATCTCCATTCTCGTCCACTGTGTCGTCTTATTTGGCATCAAATTTTGCGTCCACAAACACAGCCACATCAATCACAACAAACACGGACGGCGGGACATCAAGCACCTCTACGCAAACACCAACGCGCACAACCACCTCAACTACGGCAGCACAAACAACAAGCGCATCAACAAGAACACCAACGGCGATAGCAACAACCACTTCGACCGGAGAATCATCAACAGGGAACATGGGTGAAACAAATTCCACACCGCAAACGAGCACAACCGATATGACAACATCATCATCATCAACCGCAACAACAAGAGCAGCAACAAGCACAACAGCAGGCACAACGAGCAATGCTGACCAATCTAGCGCCGTGTCTGAGCAAATCAGCACCACTGTATCCGACTCGTCTGACACGAGCACAGATAGAGCAACAAGCAACGCGGGCACGTCCACTCCGATCACGAGGACAAGTACGAGTACGATCGCAAACTGGAAAACGACCACGAGCAGCACTGCTACCACGAGCCCAACCACGAGCGCCACCGACAGCGCCCGGACAAGCGACGGCACCGACACCGCTACCGGCACCGCCAGCGGCACTGGCATCGGCACCGGAACCACCCGAATCACCACAAGCACCGTCAAAAGCAGCTCAGACTCAACACAAGCATCGCCAAGTTCGAACTACCACTCAACATCAAGCGCCTCGGCAATGTTAGCATCAAATATGTCTACGTCGCACACTATGATGCATCTTCTTTCTTCTTCTTCAATGTGTGCTGTTCGAATTTTTTCGTCCACCACGGCCTCAACTTTGGCTCCCTTGAACTTAACTTCGATGTTTCCTCCGCCGATTTCTGAATGTAAGTCTCTTATTTTCGTAGATTGTTGAATAATTTTGAGTTTTGGGTTTTACTCGGTTGCCTACGTCATATATTTCACGTTTCCGCATGATGCTCTTTTCGCATACTTGAAATTGATGTTTTTTTTCTGTGCTAGTTTGCGTTTTGTCTGCAATATTCAATTTATCCCTTGTTTTCTAATTTCTTGTCTCCTCATAGTGCTCCTCTACGGGCTCTTTAGTTGAATCGATCGTCTTTAGTTATGGAACACCCATTCTCGTGTTCTGCGTTTTTATTGCCGATAAATTTCCTAATGAGTAAGCTAATTATTTCGGTTTAGGGTTGTTTTGAGAGGAATCTGACGAAATCAATTCTGTCCAAGAGTTCAACTTCTGGCTTCTATTGTTTCAGTATCTGTAAATTTCAGTGTATTTTCGGTCAAGACGCCTAATGTAATCTGTATTTAGTGAGCAATAAAATTTACACTTCAAATGCATAGAATATTATTTTGTTGCAGTTTTGCTGGTGATGTAGTATTCATTGTCTATTTTAAACGAATCTTTTGAATTCGGAATTAAGATCCCATCATTTTCATGCAAAGCATCTTAGGGATAACTGACCCTTTGAATACGTATAACATTCCAAGATTTATTATAATAATTTGGTAATAGATAACTTTGCTCTACGTTTTGTCATGGACAACCTCTGGTGTCCATATGATTTGTGCCTAGTAATGATGTGGAGGATAGCAAAGCTAACTTCCAATACATTTTGTTTAACTGTGGTGGGTTTGAAACTAATAAATTACGGAGTAAAACATGTCAACGATATCCAATTTGATACCTTTACGACCGTTTCAGAACCAACAGCGTAGTTTTATCCATCTTGCCTCTGACCGGGCATGCGTATACGGTCGATTGATACGACTTACATGTAATTTAATACCGAAGAATCAAGATTGTACAGTGAATAGTATTTGAGTTCATGAAGCGCTGGAGAATCATGCCGAGGTGCTAATAATGATAACAGCAATAATGAAAATAATAATAGCAATAATAATCAAGGTGAATAAAATATATTAACCATATTTTAGGACCGTTATACTCTGATTAGTTGACTTGATTTTTTACAGGGACCGAACATTTTGTACGAACAACCTCAAGCAATACCAAACAGCTGTTCATACCCGTATTATGACCACTAGCTTCCAGTTTGAGAGTGAAATGCTCAGTAACTAGGGAGCATGACGAACGACCGAAAACATTGACGATCATGTTTTAAATATTTTGTCTTATGAATCGGGTAGTCCATATGGGTTTTCACAAATTTGATACGGCATAACATGCAACACTGTTATCGTCCATCTTATTCTTTACACGACAAATGAAGAGCTGAAAATCGATGCTGGTGGTTGTGATTTGTACCATTTGATATGAAAATTTCTAGAGTTCGTCCATCCATCCTCCCTGCGTTCATTGTCGAAAGTAAATGACGACGTTGATCTCTATTATTGGGCCTTTCATTTCTGTATCCGCTTTAATCCATTTCGAACAAATGCAGACCCCTTATAATTGGCAATAGGATTTTATCAGCAGATAACTACAACCACTGAGACAGCACAGTTTCGTGGTGATCTCATCTCTAATGAAAACAATAGCTCTAAGCAAATTCATTGAAACCCCTTCTTCGGGAGCAGAATTCCGGTTCTGTGGTTATGGCCACCTCCATGGAAGAGCTCTACAGTCCTTCAAACATTGTTGGTTACAAAACTGTCAGTAACTGAAATTAAGGTTGCATTTGTTTAGATTTAGTGCATCGAATTTTCTCAAGTGGTTAAATTCACCTGCATTCACACTGACTGCGAGTTCCAAGACCATCACGGTCATTCAGGGTGTTGATTATCATGTGTACAAAGGCATTATTTAATAGGTCACAGCATTACCACCTCCAACCAATCATAGAGAATAAATGTACCATTGTAATCAAAGAACGAAAACAAGAAGGTCATTAGTGATTTTAAAGATGCGTATCTTAGGCTTACAGAAATGGCTTATTACAAAAATGAATTATTGAAAGGTTATTTATATATATTTTCAGGTATTCAGATGTCCCACGAAACAGAAAGTCCGCTCATAAGGGTTAATTACACTGTGGGAAGGGTTAACATGTCGTCTTATCCCGTTATTTCATCTTAGGGCTGTTTTTTCTCTTCCCAAGATAGTTCTATGGTATGATAGTGTTCTTAATGTTTGGGAATGTTTGCAAACAATGTCAATAAAAAGGCTTTCTGGTGATTTTAAAGGATAAAAGGTCTATCAAACTAACGCTCTTGTTTGCATGCGAATGTTTTGAGGAAACGAAATGATGAGATCCATTTAACTCCTACATATCGCTTGATTTGAGAGGGGCTGAGATAAGTTAAACGATGATCTGCACACCAACGGAACTAAATATTAATCGCGCCTAGATTTGTGATCGTTTGCTCAATGAACAAATATTTCAGAATTTTTGTCTTGAGAGGAATCTGCGCAGCGTCGTATTTGATGGAACTGATCGATCAAAATTATCGGAAGTGAGGAACAGACGGACTGCTAACAGCTATTGCAGGAAACTCCCCTCACCACGTAATCTCAGGCAATAGAAAAAGCTTTGAAACGCACATATATTGCGTTCTTTGATGTGATTGATATACGTCTGAGCACCTTTGCTGAGACAATAACATTTTACATATCCTCTCTCTCATGTTTTGTTATTTTTGACGCGCGTCCAACTAATTGGTCAATCTCCAGCAGCGGTGACGCGTGTCTTCAACGTGGTGGTTGCGTTAATGAGAAATGGAAAAGCTATGGATTGGGACACACGGTTGGAGGATTCTACTTCCGATCACTATAACAAACTGGCCGTAGCATGTTGTCAGTTGGTAAGTCTACCACCACCTAGTGCGTCCGTGCCGTCGTAATCCAACGTAGCCGTCACAGTGTACACTCTCCAGAGTTCATCATATACCGAATTGCACCAAAGTGACAACCGATTTGTGAAGTTTTTTCAATATCCTATTTATATTCCCTTAACATTTTGCTAAGGAATGTGTAAAAATATCATGCTAAATGAGTCTTTATAGAGTATAAAGCTTGGGTTACATTGTTCGATTGTTTAGAGTCTTATTCCAAAGAGGCATCAAAGCCACACATCAGGATGGAAGCTAATCAAGTTTTTGACGATTACGTCATGGTCCCTCGTAAACGTTTCTCTGCTCTAATAGCTGAAATGGAATTGGTTTATGTGTTTATGCTATAGAATATCTCCTAAGCATGAAAGTGGCCAGCGGCGCGTTGACTGTGTGTGACAAAACCACAACCAACTGCTGTTTAACCCCTTCCATCCGATTCGTGAACCTGAGTTTATCAATAAATAGAGTAAGTGTATCACCAATTTGCGAAATGTGGATAGGCAAGTTTCACAAACTATCGATGCACATTTAAGAAGATACTGATTGAAAACATTTCCAAGTCAGTTTTTTGGTTCCCATTGTTACAGACACTATAGATAAGTGTACAAGTGTTTGTGGAATGAATTATATACATTAATTTTGTTGTAATTGAGTCGCTGAATATCACATGCACTATCATGAATAGCTAGTCTGCGGACCATCCGGTATGACCTCAGAATGTTTTAAAAATAAACTTTAACTGTTATGCTACACTGATTGATCATACCGTTGAATTGTTTGAATGGGAAAAGCTTTGATAATTACAAATGTTTTCAACAATCTTTACCCATTTCATCTATCTGTATATCAGCTTCTCAAAGCCGCACAATACTCTGGGTCCGATATTTTGAAGAAAACGTCATGTTATTTCCAGCGTTTCGTTCGGGGCTCTGTTCTAGCTTCTATGGATGCCGTGTTTGCAACCACTCCATCGATAGCTCCAACTGCAACCCAAATAGGTGGAAGCTTAGTCAACGGTTATCAAAGTTTCTTCCAGTCTGACGAATTCAAGGGATGGAATCAAGATGTGGTTTCTTTCAATAGCCAAATCCCATTTCAAGTTGCTGGTTTGTGACCTCATCTGATGTTGGTTAACTATTTTTTTCAATACTTATGAATTGGTTATCGTGGGTGAACTAGCTTTCGCTGTTGTTGTGTTTTCACCATTAAAATACATGCATCTCTGTGATAACCAATTCCATCTCCACTTTATGCGAAATTCTTTTGGGATTCTTTATTGTCCATACCCATTATCAGCAGATTCCGATGTTTGGCAATCGTCAGCTTTGCATACTTACACTAAGTTTTGCAAGTTCACGATCGATCACTCTGTCTGAGAATTCTTAGTTATTTGTATCACTTGTTCACACACAGATACACATACACACAGAAAGTGACCTTTCGATATTAATTAGCCGATGATTACTGATCACTCAATGGAAAGAAATTTCTCCGATAAAGAAGAGTTCACGCAGTATGTTGTGATCCGAAATGCCAATATAGTTAAATGCTTGCTATCTTCATTCCATTGATGTAGCACTCACCGCTAAGGATGAGTTGGTAAATCGTAGTAGTAATATTTCACTTTATACGTCGTTAGTGGATCGATTTCCATCCCCAAAGATGTAAGCACACAGAATTGAATCTTTCCCTGTAAATGTAATTCTTTAGATAAAACTTCGAACAAAACGTGCGCAAATTACCAGTCGCAGTGTTCAGTCCACGCTAGATGCTACGATCGTGATGGCACTTACCTGTGTGTATGCAATAACCTG